TTTTAAATTTTATTTTCTAATAGTTTGTTGCTAGTATATATAATTGATTTTTATATATTGGCCTTGTATTCTGCAACCTTGTTAAATTCATGGATTACTTCTAGTCATTTTTTAAATAGAGACAGTTTTGCTTTTCCATTTATTATCTTCGTGCTTTTTTTCTTGCCTTATTTCAGTGTTAAGAATCTTCAGTAGAATTGGTGTTGAATAGAATTGGTGAGAATAATTATCCTTATCTTGTTCACAATCTTTAGGGAAAGCCTTTATTCCATCTTTCATCCTTAAGGACTATGTTAGTTATAGGCTTTTATAGACTTTTTAAAAATCAGATGAAGAAGTCCACTCTTCTTCCTAGTTTGTTGAAAGTTTCCTCCATTTCTTTTGTCAGACAGCTTTTTCTACTATGAAGCTTTTTCTATTTATCGAAGTAATCATGTGATTCTTTCTTTTAGTCTACAAATATGGCAAGATTAACTCCATTGATTGGTTTTTCACGTGTTGAACCAACCTTGCTTTCCTGGAATAATTATATATCAATAAATCTGATTAAAAAAAATTATTTTGGCTGAGTGTGGTGGCTCACGCCTGTAATCCTAGCACTCTGGGAGGCCAAGGAGGGTGGATTGCCTGAGCTTAGGAGTTCAAGACTAGGCTGAGCAAGAGCAAGACCCTGTCTCTAAAACAAACAAACAAACAAACAAACAAACAAACAAAACAAAATAGCTAGGTGCTGTGGTGGGTGCCTGTAGTCCCAGCTACTCAGGAGGCTGAGGCAAGAGGATTGCTTGAGCCCAAGAGTTTGAGGTTGCTATATGCTATGATGCCACAGCACTCTACTGAGGGCAACAAAGTGAAACTGTCACCCTGGGTAGAGTACTGTGGTGTTATCACAGCTCAGCTGCCTGTCCTTCGAGAAACCCTCACGCAACACAGCAACCTTAAACTCCTGGCCTCAACTAATCCTGCCTCAGTCTCCAAAGTAGCTGGGACTACAGGCACCTACCACAATGCCTGGCTAGTTTTTTTTTTTTTTTTTTTAATAGAGACAGGGTATCACTCTTTTTCAGGCTGGACTTAAACTCCTGAGCTTAAGCAATCCACCGTCTTGGCCTCTCAGAGTGCTTGAATTACGGGTGTAAGCCACCACTCCTGGCCTGATTTTTAAATTTTTTTTTAGAGACAGAGTCTCACTTGGTCGCCCTTGGTGGAGTGCTGTGGTGTCACAGCTCACAGCAACCTCCAGCTCTTGGGCTTGGGTGATTCTCAGGCCTCAGCCTCCTGAGTAGTTGGGACTACAGGTACCCGCCACAACGCCTGGCTACTTTTTGTTGCAGTTTGGCCAGGGCTGGGTTTAAACATACCACTCTTGGTATATGGGGCCAGTGCCCTACTCACTGAGCCACAGGCACCGCCTGATTTTTAAATTTTTAAGAAAATAAAAAGGGAAACTTTGGGTTAAAAGAGATATAAAAGACACAATCAATCGCAATGTATAGACCTTGTTTGGATCCTGATTTTTTTTAAGTGCAAAAGAAGTATGTCTATGAACAATTGAGAGTTTGAACACTGACAGTATATTTGATGATAGCAATGAATTACCATTGGTTTTTGTTTTTAGGTATAGTAATAATGATTGTTAAAAAAAAGATTGCAAAGTTTTAGTGATGTATACTGAAATATTAATAAACGAAATGATTTCTGAAATAAGACTTTGATGAGCTCATCTCTCTTTGGATCAACTCTCCAGGCTTATGCTTCTTCCTCCTCTGCCCTCACCTGCTGTATACCCTCTATGCTGGTCTGCGTGTAGTTGCTTCAGTGTGCCAGGCTCTTTCTTGCCATACGGTCTCTGCACTCACTGTTCCTTAGAGGTGCCTCTCTAACCCTCCTATCTCCTCATCAGATTAGTTCCTTGCTGATGCTGGCACATAGCAGAGGCCTGAAGTCTCCAGCAGCAAAATGGAGTAACGTGAGGGCTCTAGTTCCTTCTCTGCTCTCACTGCTGTTGTCTTAGCCTAGACAACCATGACCTTTCACCTGCACCTGTGCAGGAAACTCCTCATCTGTCTTCTTGCCTCGCTCACCATCCACTCTTATCCATGCTCCACACTGCAGCCAATGTGGCTTTTCTAAGGGTTGGCTCTGACTTTTGTGGCCACTTGTCTGAACTGCTGCAGGACAAGGTGAGTGGACGTGATCTCATCTATGCCCCAGTGACCTGAAGGCACAGATACAACCTGTGCATAGAACCAGGGAACAGGCTTCCTCCTCTCCTCCACCTCTCTCCTCCGGACCTGCTGGGTGTGCAGACTTCAAGGACCTTGCCCTTGTCCAGGCCTCCTGGCTGGACCCCAGGTTGCCAGTCCCCGCCCAGCAGAACACAGAGTCCAGTTTTTTCTTGGAAAAAACATCAGGGCATTTGGTGAGGGAGCTGCAGAGCTGTTTTTCACCTCTGATGGTGCAAAACAGCCTCGGAGGCCAGGTGGCACTGGGGACTGGGCGGCTGGACAGGGTCTTGGCTAATGACAACTGACAGCTGGAAAAAGATAAGTGGACAACACCCTTCTGGCCCTGGCTGCAGCTTGAGTGGGCAACGTCCTCCCTGCTCCATGACTATCCTTGTGGGCAGGGTGACAGGGTATGGGAGTGAGGGACTGGGTCAGAGCCTGGACCCCAGGCCTACTCTGCCGGACTAGCTGCATAACCTTGGAAAGTCACTCTTCCTCACCATGCTCTGTTTCATAGCCTCAAACAGAAAAGGAAGGGGGGAGGGGGGAGGACGGGGGCTGGATGAATGGACATTCCCTTTTGGCTCCTTAGGTCTTGAATTGCCAAAGGCCCTGCCATCTATCCCCTGGGAGAGTAAAGGCCCCGGCCCCTGGTGGTTAGAACCCTGGGCTCTGGGGTCAGATGGGTCTGGGTCGTGTCTTTCTCTTCCCCTCCAGGCGGTGGGAGCATGGACAAGTGGCTCACCTTCTCTGAGTCCCCATTCCCTCATATGTGGAAAGTGGACACTATTATTTGGCTCTGGAGCCCCTGGGAAGATTAACTAATCTACCAGTGTAGATCCATAAGACACTGGTAGAAACTCAACAAATGGTAGTTTTACAAACACAAGAGGCCTGGGCAGACCTGGAGAGCAGCCTGAGGAGGAAGCAGGGGAGAGAGAGGAGTCTGTACTTTCCCTGAATGCCTGACTCTGCACTGCCTTGGCCCTGGGGCTGACCCTTCTGTCTCCTTGGGCTGCAAAGTCCTGGTTCCATAAAAAATTAACAGCCCAGCAAAGAGCAGGGCCCCAGTTCTGACACATGACCCCTAGGGTTGCACAAGGAAGGGTGTTCAATCCAACTCACAGGTGGGCCCTGGATGCATTGGGGTATGGATGGACCTCCTCCCCAGTCTCTGCACCAGCCTGGAATTCCACCACCAGCAACTTCTGTGCTTTAACCTGGGGGTCAGC